GATGAGTGAGCCCACCTAACATCAATCCCTTGTTGTGTGCAAGTGTCCAGCTGATTATGTGGCTACATGATTCAGATGTTCTTCCTGGAATTGGCAGGAGAAATTGGATCTCCTGGGCCTGTGGGAAGAAGAGACTGTGCATCTTTTAATCACTAGTAGAAATGTTGACATCTATGAGCAGATTGCTTGGGGGATGCAGGAGAAGGGGTACACCAGGGAACAACAGCAGGACACAGGAAAATTCAGGAACTGCAGCAGGCATATCTGAAGGTCAGGGAGGCCAGCAATTGTTTGGGCCCAGATCCACAGACCTGATGGTTTTGCAAAGAGTTCCTGTCTCTGATTTGGTGGAGATCCCATATAACTTCATGGATACCTATGAGGAGCCTGAGTCACAGGCCACTGCTATGAACAGCGAGGAGGAAGAGGATGAGGAAGATGAGAAGTATGGGGGACAAGCAACTGGAGGATTTGGCTGTGCAGCGAACCAGGACTTGTGTTGGTCTCTACCACATTTCTGCAAATTGAGCATTTGAAATCATGATGCAGGGGAAGGAACTTCAGGTAAGTGTGTAAATTAATTTTCCATTACAAGGGATAGTGTCCCCAAATTAGCGGACACAAGATTTCAAGCTTTTGTTAATGTATTTGCACTAGAACAGATAGTGTTACAACCAAGAGAGATCAGGTACTATCTGCTTTTCATTTCCCTGTAGAGCTAGGAAGCCATGTGGAGCAGTTAGATGTCTACAAGGATGACCTTTACATTCTCTTGAGAAATCGCGATGAAACTTCCATAGAGTGCTCTCCCAAAAGTTTCTAGGAATGGCAGCCTTATTTTTCCTCTGCAGTAGGACACTTTCCCATGGTAGGTTGGGATAATTTGGGTAGGCACTGAAGTAGGCTAGTGGCACATAGGCCTGGCAGCACTTTGGAATGTCTGCAGCAGCTGTGCTCTCTCTGCCTTTGTTACTCTCAGTAGTGAGATACCAGCTAATGCCACCACGATCTGTGGAAAATGGTGCCAGTTTTCAGTGCTATTGCCCTATATTCATAGTTTCATGCAGCTGAGCAGTTCTGTCTGTTTCCCTCACTGTAGCTGCAGCTGAGTGTGGCACCAAGATTCAGGAACTCCAAAGCAGAAGTGTCAGTATGCTCATTTTTTAAAAACAGTTTCAGGAAGCAAGGGAAAGGGGGAGTTCTGAATTTTAATGTTTTGTTTTCTATTTCTAATGTCTTCACAATGGTGTCTGTGTTTTATCTGTAGCTGTGGCCATTACAGCTTTGAAGGAATGCCCTTCACACCAGTGGAAGAACTGACTCAGATGAGAAGTAAAAAAGGACACAGTGGACATGTTATGTGAGATCCTTCAAACTAGTGCTGCATTGAACTTTAACAGAGGGCCTGGAAGGTGAATACTGCAGACTGTATGGAGAAAGATGCTGGAAAAAGAGAGTGAGATACACCAGGACATAATGAAACTTCTCTATCCGCAAAGTTCAACAGTCTCAAGCTCACCTGCTGTTGCAGTTAGTGGAGAACTGCAACATGGTACCTTCCTACTATCCCCTCTGCATTCCTCAGAGCCAACATGCTCACTATTCCTGCCATGCCACACTGTGTGAAAGCTTAGACAATCATAGCTTCACATACACTGACCTGCAAGAGTCACAGTTGATGTATATGTAGCTACAGTGGCCATCAGTTTTCATGCCTTTGGGTAGATTTATTAAGGTTAATTTTTTTTAAATTATGATGTATTTTCTCTTAAATTCTTCAGATTAATGAAAACAGCCTCAAAATAGTCTCCTGTTTTGTTTTGAGCATAGTTCATCTTTGTTAATTTTCAAAACATAGAAATAGTAGCCTTGTACATTCGCTATCCATCAGATCACTGCCAAACAGTACAGCAAATGTAAATATACTGCAGATCCCTCCACAGTAATAAGTGGATTGTCATTAAGGCTATAATTCAATCATGGGTATTTTTAGTAAAAGTAATAGACAGGTCATGGGCAACAAACAAATCCATGGAAGATATGGAACCCTAGCTGTCATTAATATATGCACAGATATGCAGTGAAGCACTAGTTAATTCCTAACAGACCCCCAAATTGCCTCTCCAGCCTGAACATAGTACTACAGTAGATTGGAGTCACTTGCTGTTATAGTGTCTGTTCAAGCTCTCTCTAAGCCTTATTAGCTGCTTATTGAGCTTATCTGATGGGCCTTGTGTCTGCCTCTTCAAGCTCAGCAGACAGCTGCTCCACATCTGCCCTCCACCTCTGCTGCAGGTTTTCCTCCTTTGTCACAAATATGCAGGATACAAATGGTAGCTATTAACAGTGAGGTATTTTTTGCACTGAGATCAATAGCACATACAGCTGTCATTCTGCACCTGTTGAGCATGTACTTGACTCTTTCCTTGTTGCTGTTGAGATGGCCAGTGTATGGCTTCATGAGCTGGGGGGGCATCCTGCTCCCTATTGCCACTATTTGTATTGCAACATCGCCATGGACAATCCAGCAGTCAGGAAAGTCCCTGCTATAGCTTTCTGAGCATTTTCTTAAAGATGTGAGCAGTACCTTCTCTGACCAACCAATACTGATGTCAGTGATGTATCCTTGATGGTCTGCCAACACTTGAGCAACTGTGGAATAGTAGCCCTTTTTGCTGGTATGCTCTTTGGCGTCAGATCGCCTTGCACATTGGGAATGTGCATGCTGCCTATTGCTCCACTGCAGTTTGGGAACCCCACAGCTGAAAATCCATTCATTATGTCCTGAACATTGCCAATGGTCATGGTCCTGCATAGCAGGAGTTAATGATGCTTCACATTTCCATGACAGCAGTCTCTATTTATGGCTTTTCCAGCTCCAGAAGGACATCCCACTGGACTGATATCAGTCTGGCATTGCGAGTTTCCAAAGTGTGATCACCACGTGCCTTTTCATTGTCAGTGCAACTCTATTTGGTGTCCCTGCGCTGGATGTTTGGGGCCAAGCTCAACACACAAATCCAGGATGTGGTCTTGTGCATCTGACAGTGTCTGCAGAACTGTTCATCATCCAAAACCTGTGTTACAAAGTACTCCAAGTCACTGTTTGTTTCTTGGGCTGTGTCCAGACTCAGGGGTTTTTTCGGGAAAAGTAGCCTTTTTCCGAAAAAACTTCACCTGCGTCTAGACTGCAGTTGCGTTCTTTCGAAATTAAATCGAAAGAACGCGGCTTTTCTTTCAACGGCGGTAAACCTCATTTCACGAGGAAGAACTCTTTCTTTCGAAAGTGCTTCTTTCGAAAGAAGGCGTTCTTGAATGTAAATAGGGCTTCTTCGAAAGAGAGCATCCAGACTCACTGGGTGCTTTCTTTCGAAAAAGCGGCTTGCTCTTTCGAAAGTTCCTCGTGCAGTCTAGACGCTCTCTTTCGAAAGAGGCTTGCAGTCTAGACATAGCCTCGGAGACCAGAGGGAGCACTCCATCTGCAGCTGCGCTCAACAGCCCTCTTGAATTGATTCTTGCTGTGTCCCACAGCAAACTGACCACTTGGAAATGGTCTTGTTCTTCTTCAAACTCCACAAATAGTGAAGAATCGTGCATCCTGTGCTTGTCGTGCTTATAATAATAGTGCAGGGAGGTGCAGGCGCCAAGGTTGCATGCTATGTCAGAGATGGCAGACAGCAACATGCTCCACACAGCTTCACGGAAATTTGAAAGTAGTCACACAAATTATAGCATAGAGATACTATGGGATGGAGAACATTACTTACGGGAGCCATTGTTCTTAGTTACAACTGCAAGATTAATTTTTGCCCCACTATGCATTGCTACAACTACCCAAAAGACTGTGTGCTGAATGATGTTGCACACTGTGATATCTAACACCCTTGCTGAACATGTGCTGCATTGATTCAAGATAAGTCTGCAAGGGCACAAACTAACTGGCAGCTGGATGTCAATATAGCTTATAATGTAGACAGACCTTTGATTACCTTTATTATATGTCCCAACCTTGCAAACACATTAGTAGCACCATTGAGTTTATGGGGATTATTTATAGGTAAGTATTTGCAGAATTGGAGCTATAATAACTGGGTAAGTGGGCTAGAGCAGGAGTTCTCAACCTTTTTCATTCCAGCCTCCCTTCCCCCCAACACGCTATACAAACTCCAAAGCTCATCTGTGCCACAATAGCAGTTTTTCTGAATATAAAAGCTAGGGCCAGCATTAGGAGGGTAGCAAACAGGGCAGTTGCTTGGGGCCCCATGCCAGAGGGAGCCTTGTGAAGCTCACTTGCTCTGGCTTTGGTGGAGGTGGGGCTCCACCCTCACTAAAGCCTGCCCTGCTTGGTGGACCTCCAGAAACATGTTTGCAGACCCCAAGGCGCCTTGTCCCTTGACTGAGAGCAGCTGGTATATAGCATGGGGTGAATTCAAGTGCTGGGAACTATTCTTTCAAAGCATATTGAAGAACTTTAAAAGCTTATAAGGACTCCGTTTTTACACCGTAGAATTAATTTTGATTTAGTATTTTCAAGAAAGAACTTGAAGGGTATCAAGTCTCAAAGTGAAAGGAATAATTCTTTTAATATGTGTTTCATACCACTGGGCATCATTACATGGGATACAATTTATTTTTATTTTAGTATCTGTTTTTTGGGTATTCCAACTTTTTAAATGAATGTCTGTTTGTGTGAAACAAAGGTGTTCTGACAAGGAAAATGAAATTGGCAATAAACAAATTGGAAATTAGAAATGGATTTGTATACAATGTGGGAATATGACTTCAATAATAAATAAGCATTTATGTTTGTGTTTATGTGCATTTAAAAGCTAGAACATATTGCTCACTGGATGAACTTCTTTTGGATATAAATACATGACTTGATAGTATTCATGTAGAGTAAATAGAGAATCACATTTATTTCACTCTGTTTTGAAATCATAGTATGTTCACGCTCTTGAAATAAGTATAATCTTTCACTTGTGTTTTGATTCTTGCAGGAGGGAGGTATCAATTAGAAATAAAAATTCCAGAAACATATCCCTTCAATCCACCTAAGGTACTGCAAACATTTTTGTGGCTGTCTTTCTTAATGTCATGTCATCTGTTGTATTTTTGTGCAGTAGACTTCTTCTTCAGTATTTTCTTTTTTGAGCGTGAGTCCTTGTTTGCTATTTTCTAATGCTTTCTGGGTAGTCAAAGGCAAAACAAACATGCAGCTTCTTAGATCATTTCCTGGCAAGAATCTGTCTGATAAACCAGTTTGAAAATTGCTCTTACTTGAATATTATTCATATTCAAAATGGAAGGTTGAATCTTGTTTTTTAAGAAAAACTATAGCAGGACCATATTATGTACTCTGAGTAAAGAAGTAACATATTCCTTGTGCTTCATATGTTTTATTTGGTTTGATCTTAACATTTCAGGTCTATGGTAATAATTAAACTATGGATGGCTGTTTCAGTTCTGCTGTGACTTGAGTAAATATCATATTCAGGGTAGTCATACTGCAGCTGTTTCAGTGGAAAAGACAAGAATCCACTCACTTTCATTCTGTTGTCATTTGAGAAAATGATGATCATCAGACTTAGGTTTGGAACTGTTTGCAAGGGAGGAAAGCTCCCCCAAAGAGAGAAAAGAATAATAGAAGCCATCCTGACAACAGCTAAGAAATTCTGGGGTGAAGGAAGTACAAATACCAACACGTTGAGAGTACACTCCTATCTTCTAGCTGCCAGGCGTATGTGGGCTTCAGGTTTATTGGACCCCAACTAGCTGGAAGTGGATTCAAAGCCTCCCAAAAAGGCTTTATTTGTATCTATAGATATAGATATAGCAATGGTAGCTCTTTTCTTCTTAAATCTTGATGGGGCGTTGAGTGTGACCTTTTCACCTAGATATTTCCATTGAACTGTAACAATGTGGGCTGTCTCTACGCCTCATTGGATAAGCTGTGTGGTACCATCGCTCAGGTTCCCTTTTGAAACCTACTTCACACTCCCCTTGTATTAAGGCAGATCATTGTGTCCAGGTTCTACGCCATATGAGACATTAGGTTCTTCAGTCTCACATAATTAGTCTTTAGGCCTTGGATCTGTGCTCTAATTGTTGTCCAAATGACCACAAACTCAAAAGGGAAAACAAAACTTTCTATCCAGTTATGATGCATAGGGCTTAACCACCTATAGCAGCCTCTCAAATGTAGCCACTGTGGCCTCATTTGGCCTCCAGGGGCTTTTCTTGCAGACACAGCCTCCTTGGCTGCTATGGGAGGGGAGGCGTAAAGAAACAGCCTCTTCCCCTCCATGCTGCTCTTGGAGGAACTGCCTTGGGGTTGATTTCTAGGGCTGTCATCAAGGATTGCACCCCCCCCTCCCCGCAAACACCTGGGGCACAATGCTGGAGAAGCAGGCCGTCAAGAAAGTTTCCCACCTTCCCAGGAGCTATGATATGAGGTCCAGGCTTTGCACTTCAGCCTTGGGTTGACAGGGGAGCAGGCTCTGACCCTGGGGCTTTGGACTCCACTCGTGGGCTTCTGCTGTACATCTTTGGGCTCCACCTTCCAGCTTCAAGGCTTTAGTCTGCAGCACTCTGCTGTTTCCCTTGGTCCCCTCCCCCCCGCCCATGGCTTAATTTGTCCCCAGGCTAGCCAGGGTTGAGTAAGTCTGCTGTGAAAAGTGACACTTGTATGTTGGTTACAGTACTTTTCACAGCAGACTTACTAAGGTTGGCACCCTCAGGACTTGAGTTTTCCTGAACCACGGAATTTGCTGGATCAGGAGAGGTCAGTGCTCCCCTGTTGGCTGCTCTGCTCCTGGGCTCCTCTCCCGTGGGCTCTTTGCCCTGCCGTTGGCCCCGCTAATGCTGGCCTGGCATGGGCTCTCCATCCTCCTGCCTGCACACATCCTCTTTCCCAGCCGGAACAGCCTGGGTGCTGATGGCCACGCTGCCATAGGGTGTTCCCCAGGGTTCCCGGGCTGGGGCCACCCAGCCGCCGCAAGCCTCGCTGCTGGTGGTTCCACAGCTGAGATCTCCCAGCCACACTGTGCTGCTGCTAAGGCTAACCCTGCTACCCCAGGAACCTCCCTGGGATTCCACAGCTGGAGTTGGCCACCTCTGCCAGCCTGGCTTCAGCCCCGGGTTCCGCGGTTGGGGCTGCACAATTTGTCTCCGCTCCCATCAGGGGTATATTGGGGTTTCCAGATGGGGCCGCCTGGCTGCCACCTGTTTTGCTGGGTGGCAGTTCCTGACCGAGCTGCCTGCCGTCGGAAGCTCCGCTGCAACTGGAGTTTCCCCCATTGGGGCCGAGATTCCCCACCCACGTGTCCCAGCTGATGCCAGGGGTTCCTTGGCTGGGGGAGGAGTTCAGCTGCTGCTGGCCCAGCTGGGGCTCCCCAGCCTTGTGTTCTCTCAGCTGGGTTCTGTTCCCATCTCCAGGGCTCGGATGTTGCCGGACAAGAGAGTCCTGGGATTTGGGAGGTTCAGCCTCTAGCTAGGAATAAATAAATTACAATCATTTGGACATACATGTTTATATTTTCCTAAAACTAATTAAGTATTTTAGGGAATGTGTGAGAGAGGACACCAAAACATTTGTACTGAGAACCTCTAATGTAGAGGCTTTGTTCCTCAGAGACTACTACAAAGTGACTGTATCTGCTGCCCCATTTCAGCAGAGCCACTTGCTAGCTTTTGTAATAGACCCCTTTCCCAGCTGGGTCCAATAATTGATCACGGCTGCCTCATCCTAGGTCTTTGGCCTTTAAAGGCACAAGGCACCATCTTTATTTTAGTCTTGCTGGCAAGTTGTCTTGATAAAACTCTTAAAGATTTTTCACTCGTTGGGGGGGGGGGGGTCTCAAGTTTCATCCTTGTAGAACAGACTGTAATGTAACCACTTCTTAGTGGACTGATCATATTATGGTTCTCCTACCGACTTAAATCACACACCAATTGATGATTGCCATACATTCTTCTTGCAGTTACACTCATTCTTTGCAGGATTAGAATTATGTGACATGAGGAGTGTATTGAATATGTCCATGTACTGTTTTTCTCTCCTGTGCAAATGTTACTGTATTTCCCAGTTCTCTCTCCTCCTTTTACATACACACAAATCATTGCTCCATTTAAATTCCCTGGATCATTCCTGCCCAGATTTGCTATTTAGACCCTGATTCTTCCTCTTCCCTACTTTTACAAACCTTAAAAACCCTGTTCCTTGTGCTTTCTGCAGGTCTCATACTTCTGTCAGCTCCTTCTCCCCACTCTGTACTCCTGCCTTCTAGCGAGATCCCTGGAATTAGTGGCTCTTCATCCATGCCTCTGATTCCTTACCTAGTCCCACTCCCAAACCCAGATTCTTGTTTCCTAGTTTTCTCAGTCCTTTAAAGCACCGCTTTGGACTGGATTCTGATTGCTTCACTGTGGCATGTATATGGAGGGCTTGACTTCCTGGGGCAGGTGGCTTCTAGTTTTGATACTGTGGATGACTTTTTTTAGCATCTGGAGTGAGAATGCCTAGAGGAGAAGGAAGTGTCAACTTCCACTCCTGATAGCTCCTTTCTTCCACATGTGTCCTGGAATTGAAACAAGGAGTGGACGCAGCAGCCACAGGGATCTGTGGACCACAGCTTAGTAATTCCTACACTAAGGCTTGGTAGTCTCTGTTACCAACATTTGTTGAAGGGTTGCTTAGATCTCAGTGCACAGATGTTTAGATTTATTGTAAACCCTGGGAATGTGGTTTTGCAATTCTTTATTCATTAAATGCAGGCCCGTATGCAGGAATTTCAGGTGGGGGGTGTTTGTAAATGTGGACCACAAGGGTATGAATGGACCCCCCCCCCCCATTGTTCCCCAGGTAAGTGGGGAAATCAGCCCTAACCAGGGGCAGATGACTGTTTTGCGGGGCCCTGGGCAGCATAACTCCGCGGGGCCCCCCCTTTGCCATGGCGCATGCGCCGTGACGCCATGCGCATGAGCGGTGGTGCCACGGCACATGTGCAGGGCTTTTTTAAGCGCAGGGCCTGGGGCGGCCACCCCGTTCACCCTGCCCTATATCTGCCCCTGGCCCTAACCTTCCCCCAGCTGATCAGAGCATTGGGGAGGGAGGCTTGGGCAGCTTGCTGCTCCTGCTGTCCCCTGGCTGGCCAGACCATGCTTACTGGGAGGACCATGGGAGTGCTTTTGCACTCTAAGCACCCCCCTGTGTATGGGCCTGAAATATGTGCTCATTAGCCCTTTTTGGCAGGGTTTGAGGTCAGGCTGATCTGCGTGGGGCTCCATGTATAGTCTACATTTGCTAGTTAATTCTTTATGCTAGTGTTCACAACTCTCTCTCCTCTGAAGCTTTGCTATCCTGCCCAGAATGTACTTTGTCAGCTAATAATTTCTCAGAGTAAATGAAGAATAATGCTTAGCACATAGCTCTTTATATATTTACAGATGTTAATAATGGCTCCATTCTCAAACTCAGACCATACTTTATGTTCTGTGAAGGTAGTGCTAATATGCTCTTATCTGAAGTTTATTTATACATTGATGCTGAGAGTGGTAGAAAAGGCCTTAAAGCAGAGTTGCTTTGTGTGGCTTAGGAGATCTCTTTATATCTAATGGAAGATGAGGAAGGGTCTCTGTGTCAAATTGGAAAGAGGGCCTTTGTCCTAGCCCTGGGATCCTATTTTCTCTGGATGGAACAAGATTCCTGACTAAAAGATTTCCACAAAAATTTACTAGTGATTACTGGTGGCATATGCTATTTCATGTGTATCTTGTGTTCTACGGTGCCCCAGGTCTATCTTAAATTAGTATTTTTTCTTTCTAAAATTAATTCAAATAATTTATTGTATGTGGTATTCCAACTTTTTTAAAAGTTATTTTGAATGTCATATCGTTTGTAGTATGTTTAATAGCAATATAAAAAAAATCTTATCTTGTATTGTAGGTGCGGTTTATCACCAAAATATGGCATCCTAACATTAGCTCGGTCACTGGGGCCATTTGTTTGGATATCCTGAAAGATCAATGGTAAGATACTCCATGCAGTTCACAGAATTGAACACTTAAAACTAACAGACCTGACCTAGAGAATGGGCAAAAGTACATATTGCTCTTTGCTTGACAACTATAATTTCTAATGTATGGCCCCAGAGTTTTATGAACATTCTCGAAGCTTATAAATACTTTCATATAGTATTTTGAGTTGCAGATAGTATTTTTATGAAATAGGCTTCTTTTTTTTTAAAGTACTAAATAAACATATACCTTTCATAAAAGAGAAGCCAGGAGAAAAGTTCAGGTATTATTAAGGCACATAGATAAAAGATGAATGTCTAATTTAAAGTGTAAATACATGTTATTTTGTGGTGTTCATATTCCCTTTATGCACAAATTCCCCACCAAACCCTTCAGTAACGTATATTAAAAATCCTTCATTGTGGGTCCCTTTGTTGCTGTATTTGCCTCACCTAATGGCCAGCTCAGGTACAAACACCACAGCAAATTGAAATACTTTTGAACCTCTTTAATGTGACAGCTTTGGGAAATGGGTTATGCCAAATTATGGAATTTTCCTGACCATGGATATTTGTCATAATGAAGGGTGCTGGGGGTGGTGATGTGGTGTCTGGGATGGCGGGTGCAAGAATGTGCTGGGAGGGAGGGTGCAGGAGTGTGCTGGAGGATGGAGGTCCTGGGAGGGGAGGGTGTGTGTGAAGGGGATGGGGCTGCAGTATCTGGGTGTGAGGGGAATAGGGGTGGGGCATTTAGCTGGCACTCTGCTCTTGGGGTGGGGCATATTTGGCTCCATGACTCTTCCCCCCCCCCCCCCCCCCTCCCCCCCGCCCCACCCCCCTCCCCCAAT